CAGGCTGGGCTACAAGAGGGAGTTCCAGGACAGCCTCCACAGCCACAGAGAAACCCTGTCTCGAAAACCAAAAAAAAAAAAAAAAAAAAAAAAAAAAAAAAAAAAAGACAGGTTGTCTTCATTCAAACACTTCAGAGATCTACAGAATATGGTATTTAAAATATTTTAATAACATACGGCTTGTTTATGCCAATGAGACATGTCTGCTCCTGGCAGCACCAATATGCTGAAGAGAAGATGATGGGCAGCAAAGAAACTCACATGGAGTTTACTTTCTTTGTGGCAAAGGTAAGTCACTGGGAAAGAAAGTGCCCTTACCTCAACTGCTGACGCTATGCTGTCCAAAATGGTCAAACGGGTCACAAAAGAAAGTGACTGCAAAACCTTGCTAAGACAAGGGAGAGCCCTTCAGAAAATCCTGCTTCACAGAAAAGTCTGTCAGAAACGAAAGGCCTACAGGACAAAGGTGGATGCCCCCACATTGCAGAGGAACCTTGGGTGACTGTCCAGGCAGTCAGCTGTTTTTGTCATTTCTCACATTTTTCAGAAGTCACTTGAACACACTTCCTGTTTATTCAGTTAATATTATTTCCTTCTCAGATCTCACAGGGAGTTGGAAGACTAGACAGTATAGTTATAGTTCTCATTGTTTACCAGACTCAGAAAAGAAACTCACTAAAGATATGTAAAATGCAAATGGTTTGAGAGACATTAAAAGATATTTTGATAGTGCAAATTAGAATAGAAAGTAAATTAGGTACAAGACTTTGGACTTACCAATTTAGGATAGATAATGAAGTAGTTTCTCTGAATTGTCAAATGCAAATGAACTAGATATTTTTTCTGAATTTATCAAATGCAAATGGACTAGACATTGTTGATGAACTTGTTTTATGTATATATTATATATACTTATTGTGCTTATTGTATATAGTTTTTCTTATACTAGTTGTAGCCTTTTTGTATTAGACAAAAAAGGGAATTGTAGTGATATAATAGTCACCCGTGTTTGTCATACTTATAGTTATGTTGTTAGTTAGGTTCTCTAGATGCACAGAAATGTACTCCTCATAGACAGGTAATCTTCAAACACTTCAAAGACCTACAAAATATGGCATTTAAATGTTTTTGGGTTTTGTTTTTTGTTTTTTTTTTTTTTTTTTGGTTATTTTCGAGACAGGGTTTCTCTGTGAAGCTTGGGAGCCTATCCTGGCACTCCCTCTGGAGCCCAGGCTGGTCTCGAACTCACAGAGATCTGCCTGCCTCTGCCTCCCGAGTGCTGGGATTAAAGGCGTGCGCCACCAACGCCCTGCTTAAATGTTTTAATAATTTAGAATTCTGTTGGTATGAGACACAGCTGCTTCTGGCAGCACCGATGTACTCCCCAGAGAATGATGGGCCCCAAAGGCACTCCATATGGAGCTTGTTTCCTTTTTGGCAAAACTGGCCTATGGGCAAAGAACTGCCTTTGCCTTGACTGCTGACAGTAAGCATGCTGTCCAATCTGGAGAAGCAGGATACAAGGAAAAGTGACTGCTGTACCTTGCCAAGACAAGACAGGACAGGTTTGGAATTTTCCTGCTTCTGAAAATGGTCTGTCAAATATTCTAGGCCTTAGCCAAGGTTGGTTGCCCCGATGTTACTGTGAGACCTTGGATGACTGGCCTGGCAGCCAGCTGTTTCTGTCATTTCTTGCACATTTAGGAAGTTGCCTGCCGGCATTTCCCGCTTACTCAGGGAATATTATTTTCCTTCTCAGGTCTTTGATGGGGTTAAACACTATACTATACTATACTATACTATACTATACTATACTATACTATACTAGTTAAACAGTTACTCTCCTCTCATATCTTAGCTAAGGCATTTAGATACAAGACTCAGCCTCTTCTGGACAGGACAGCTATTAGAATAATCTCTTTTATTTGCCAATTACTTATAGTCTAGACACTTAGTATGTGTTTCTTTCTTGATGTTGTTCTTGTTGGTTGTAGTTCCATTTTGTGTGGGTTATTACTATTTCTCTCTCCTGGACAATACTTGATAATTGTTCTTATTGTATATAGTTTTGTATTAGGTTTAAAACTTTCTTATTTAGACAAAAAAAGTGAAGTGTTGTGTGAATTCATTCCACCAGTAGCTTTGGGGTACCAGCCTTAGGGTGAGACTTCTCGTCTGCGGATGTGATCTCTTAAAACGAGAGAGATAGGGGTTGCAAGCTCTCTTGAGTTCTGAAGACTAGGTCAGGCGGCATGAAGCAGCATGTGACCATGTCCCAGCTCCCTTGAGCAGAATGGAAGGATTTTGCAACTGGTTATACCTTGTCCTGTATCCATGAGTCTGTTTTCCCCATGGCATCCTTAAATATCTTTGTGGTTCTCATAAGACATGCCAAAATTAGAAAGCTGAAATTGTATTGGAGACAGACAGAGCTCTCCTGTCCAGCTGCAGACCATCCCAGAGCAAGACTGGTACCTATACTGTCAGCTCCAGACCCAGAGCCAAGTGTGTGATGCCTGTGGTCATCAGAAGTGCTACAGACCTGGGACTATAGCAAGCCCTGTCCACTGGCCAGGCACTAGTCTCTGCCAGATGCCAAGGATGTGTCCCCACCAAACAGCCAAGAGAGTTTGAGATCTCAAGTCACAGGCAAATAGACCCCACCAAACCTGGGGCCCAAGGCAGGAGCTGCAGACTCAGGGATGGTTCAGAAATGATTGCTTTGCCTTGCCCTGTGGGTGCCTGTTGTTACAGCCAGATCAAGGAGCTGTACATGCCCCTAAAGCCTTTTCTCTGTGACCTTGTTTCTGGCTGTGGTCAGATCCTGAACACCTGCTGCTTCATACCAACAGGAAGGCCCCTTTGAGAGAGCTGAAGAGCTGTCAGCTCACCTGTCCCTAGAAGGCTGCCCCATGAATAGAAAGTTGTGAGAGTAGAAAGTCACAGGGGTAGAAAGGCCTGGCTCACCAAGACTTCCTCGTCACTATGTAACCCTATCTAAGCTCTGCCCCAGAATATGGATGCAAGATGGACTGGAGCCTGAGGTTCGAGGGATAGTATCAAAGCTTCCCCAGTCTTGCAGTACAAAAGTGCCCAAAGAGGTCTGAGAACGTCCCACAATTGCTCTGCCCCCTAGTGGCTGCAGTCTCTTCACACCCCGCCTTTAATTTTAACCAGCTACCCAACCAGCTACCCGGAAAGGTTCTCCTGGATCATCAGCTGCCTCTAGAGGTCCCTCCTTTCCACACACCAGGGCAGCCCTTCGCCTGCCACTGGTGGGCCAGGCAGAGGCAGAGTGAGTGAATGGGTTCCAGGGGCATCCTGAAGAGGGCTCCTCCTGTCGGTGGCTCTCCTCCATTGGCACTGCCCAGTGCTCATTAGACACAGAGCTCTGTGCCTATCTCAAGCAGATGTGGGTCCGAGACACTGCCATACCTAGACCAGAGCCCCATCCTCCAGGACCTTCGCTCTCCTGCTCATACTTAGACTCTGCTGGACCATGAGAGGTAGCAGTTTTGCTCTCCTTCCCCTTCCCTTCTGTACTCTGAAATAACTTGACTGTTTTTGATACAAAACATACCATGCCTTCAGTGTTATTATTATTTGAATTCTCAGTGGTTTGGGCTGTATTGTGAATACTGACCATCTATTTTTATTATGTTTTTATGGTGCTGGGATTTCAATATTGTGCATGCTGAGCAAATGTTCCATCACCAAATTACGCCCTCAGATCCAATGATTATTTTTTAAGCAAAGTCAAGAGAAAGTTGGCTCTTGACCTCTTGAACTCCAGACCCTGGCCTCTGTAACCTGAGTGGATTTCTCTCCAGCTTGCAGAGTTGAACTGTGTGTGTACCTGAAGGAAAGTTGGAGGGGCACTGTGACTTAGGAACTGGCCTACATTATGAGTATGAGACTTGCTAAGTGGGTAACAGAAGGATGGACACAGTAGGGGGGCCTGACATTTTGCAGAAATTGAGTTTTCTTCAGGGATGATTCTTAGCCATTAAGGGGTGCTCTCACTAAGGCCATCAGGGTGGTGCAGCATCGTGAGGGAATGTGATGTTCAGAGTCTGTCTGTGTGTCTGGCATGGGCTCTTCCGAGTGCCCGGAACAGAGCCTCTAATGTCTGCTTTTCTGGTTTGCAATCCTTTCACTTCATACTCAGCTCCTGGCATCGGCTACTCTTTTTTTTTTAATTTTGTTTTGTTTTGTTTTTCGAGACAGGGTTTCTCTGTGTAGCTTTGGAGCCTATCCTGGCACTCGCTCTGGAAACCAGGCTAGCCTTGAACTCACAGAGATCCACCTGCCTCTGCCTCCCGAGTGCTGGGATTAAAGGCATGCGCCACCAACGCCAGGCTCATCTGCTACTCTTACTTTCAGAAACTCCTACTCATGATCAAAGTCGCTTTCCTGGTTCTGCTGCACACCTCTAAACCTCCCTGTGACATCCCTTGGCCTGAGTTTGGGTCCTGACATTCTCTACATCCTTCTCCAACTCTGAAAGCCTCATTTATAAGACAAGATTGGCAACATCTTACAAGCAGATGAGCACAAGACTCCCCTCCACCTCGAGCAGAGGCTATAATTACCACCCCAACCTCCTCCGAGCCCTCGGGGCAGGGCAGGCAGGACTCCCTTCACATGGGCTCCCATCCCAATGTGAACCTAGCCCTGGGCCAGTTAGTTGTTCTACTATGGCTCTCTCAGCTATCAGAGCCAGAGGGAAGGCCACAGCACAGCCTGGGTCAAACGTATCTTCAACAGTGGTTCCCCTGGCACCAGATCCAACCCCCTCCCCACGCAGCCTTCCATCCCCTGTGTTCCACCCTAACTTGCAATCAAGTCTGAACCCTGGAAGAAATTCTCATGGAGTCCAAGAAACACAAGCAGTAGGTGTTGAAGATTCCATAATTTAAACTGATTAAAGTACCATAAAATAGCTTATCACACGACTGAGATCAGTGAGCCTGCAACAGTGGGCAGAGGAGTGACGGCAGTTGGAAGGTGTGGGACTGAGTGAAGGGCAGCTGCAGTCTCCAGAGCTGGGTGGGAAGGTGTAGCTCATCTTCACCTCAGCTAGCAGGGTTTCACCTTCTTCAGGTAATCTTGAACCCAAGTGGTTGTAGTCAAGGCACAGCTTTCTAGGCCTTTCTTCAGCCTGAATCTGTGAAAGGAGGAAAAGGAGGACACATGCAGGGACCTGAGTCACCCACTAGGAACCTGGAATACTCACCTCCACTTCTGTGAGACCAGGGGTCCCTGAGCTCCCCCTTACTTAAGTGATCTGAAGTTGGCACACTGGTGTCACACTGAGAGTTTATTGGTGGGGACCCCTGACCGTCCTCTGGGGTTTCTATGGGCCTGGGGCAGGGGAATTTACTGACATCCTGATATGTAGCTAGAATGAAACTTCCCCATCCTAGAACAGCACCCTGCTCCAGCTGTGAATGTCTGTGTGTCCATCTGGGACTCACTCATTGCTCTGGGCTCATGGTGTGTGTATGTGAGAGAGAGAGAGAGAGGGAAGGAGGGGGAGGGAGACAGAGATTCTTTGCCATCTGTCCACTTTTAACTTGCTGGTATTCATTCCACAAACTAACTCTGCCTCCTACTGGCCACTGGTCTTAGACAACCACCTCTGCCTCCCCAAACTCAGTTTCTTTCATAACAAAATGTATGTCCTAAAAGGATCAGCAGGGGTGGTAACAGGAAAGTGCCTCAAAATGCTGGCATGGTTTGCAAGTCACCTCAGTCAGGCTCCTAATGACCCTGAGATACGGGCAGGCTTCTGTTTTATCCCTCTTCACAGAAGCGAGTCAAAACATGGGGTATAGAAGAGTTTCCTATCCAAGGCCCATAGAGAATGCAAGTTGGAGAGAGAGAGAGAGAGAGAGAGAGAGAGAGAGAGAGAGAGAGATTGTCTATCTTGCTTTTTGAGTCAGGGTCTCTCACTGAATCTTGAGCCTAACTGTTTCAGTTAGGCCAGAGCCAGCAACCCCAGAGGATATGCCTGTTTCTACCTGATCCAGCTGGAGTCACAAGCTCACACCACCCTGTTTGACCTTCCCCGTGCTTACAGGGAATATGAACTCAGATTACCATGCTTAGGCAGCCACACACTACCCGCTGAGCCAGTGTTTCAGCCTGTCTGTCGCTTTTGTTAACCATTTCCTTCTGGATATATAATATGGGATACAATCATGGCACTCTGGAGTTCAAGCAAATAAATCAGGACTTCCTCCTGGGAAGACCTACACGCCCCCTAGCGGCCAAGTTTGGCGCTTCACCATAGTTTGCCTGTGTTTATAGAGTCCCTATTCCTGTAGAACATCGCCATCTACTGTCCACTATTTTCATTCCAGCCCGCGTTTTCCTCCCTTCACTTACACCACAGCTGGGTGGGAACAGGAGGAGCTGATCTCTCTGTAACACTGAATTAACTTCTGGGGAGGCATTTTCTTCAGAAATCTGAAGCAGCAGCGAGAAGAGGGCACGTGCACTAGAAGAAAAGCACAAAAGACCATTAGCACCTATACCTCAGCCTCCCACCCACACAAGGCCTAAAAAGTAAAATCCACAGAGCCCTTCCTAGGACAGACTCAGGCACGGAGACCATATCCAGAGGGCCACAGTGCAGTCCGGTCTCAGCAGCCACTCATCTCTGAGAACAATCAGAAGGCTGAGTTGGGCAGAGCTAAACACCCCCACAAACCAGCGGATGGTGGAGACACTCACCACAAGCCAGCCGGACCCCTTGTCCATACAGAGAAATCCCACATATACAGCCCCCTTCAGTACCCATCTCCCATCACAAGTGCACGGCTCTGTATTGTACCAGAACTTAAGCTCTTGGGTTCTAGACCCACATCCTAGGGAACTTGTTACTCCGTTGCATGCTGGACATTGCAGTCCACAGTTTACAGACATGGGACCTGGTGATGAACTGCACAAGAGCGCAGAAGGGAAAGATGGTTCCCAGGAAGTAGCTAGTCCACACTCCTACACAAGCTCCTGCGCCCCCTTCCTTGGTTCTAACCTCTTTCATAGCCCAATAACCCCAAACTCTGCTGGTCTGGGTACTCCCCTCCCCACAACCCACCTTCAGCATCCCCATGTTCTAACACTGGCTCCTTCCTACCTCATGAGTCACAGAACCCTCCCCCGGTCCATTGTTAGGTTTGTGTTCTCGGACTGGAACACAGACTCCATTTAGCCATGCAGAAAACATTTTTTGAGAGGTCTAATAATTTTCTGGCTATTAGCTCCTGTGGTTCTTTCTTCAGTCCCTGCCTGTCATCTGTCAAACTGTGGAAAACCAGACCTAGTCCCTCCTTGGACTTTCAGGGCTCTCAGCTTGTTTAAAACAACCCCATTAGTCCCTTCCAACTGTCTGTAGAGTAAGAATCAAAATTATTGTCTACACTGAAGCCAGTTCAGCTCTCAAAAGGTAAATAAACCTCCCAAGACAGGGCTAGGCTTGGGACCACACCCAGAGGACCCTGGTCCAGGTCTGTCTCAGCAGCCACTTAGTTCTGAGATTAGAAAAGGAGTCAGGGTTCAGGTCTGAGCTCCCCCATAAAGCAGTAGATGGCTGCCCCTAGCTCGTAATCTTCCTCCATGCATGATGCCCCCAGCCCATCCATGTGCTCCATTCCTTCTCTCCAACTGGGAGCAAAGATGGAGTCAGTGAGATCTAGGTGAGCTCTGTCTTATGCCCAGAGCACCCATCTGTACTTGCTCCTCCCTGGGCCCAAGCACAAGGATCCCAGCACTCACTGCTCTTGCTGTCCACATCTTGTGGCCACATGGCAGCCAGCAGCAGGCACATTAGGGCTGTGGTGATGACTTTCATGGTGCTGAGTTTCTGGCTCGGGCCTCTCTGGAGCAACCAGCGAATGTCTGGTGAAGCCAAGAGCTCTCTCCTCTGCCTCATCTTGAACTGAGCTTTTATCAGAAGCTACAGGGTGCTTTCCCAGACCATGGGGAAGATGTGGGAGTCCCAGGGAGAAGGAACTCATACCCAATGGCCACATGGAAAAGTCCTTTCCTAACCTCTCTTGGGGAGTATTCTAGGTATGTTTGGGTGCCTGGTGGCCTTGGGAAGTTCCCCAAGTGCAAAGGCAGATACCAATCTTTAGAATCTTAACAAAATGCGTGGGAGTTGTCCTGGCCAAGTGGAAAGTCAAGAAAGGTGAAAGAGAGGAAGTGGCCCGCAGACAGCTCATCTAACCCACATCATTCCATTCAAAGCAGCTGCTGGCCCTGGAGAAGGACAGAGCACAGGAGCTTCAAGATACATTGAAGCGAGCTTGTGTGGATCCCAGCTCTGCCAATCAGCAGCTGCACAAACTTATCTAATCTACACATCCCTACAAGACGGAACCAGTGCAAACCCCAAATGTGGGTGATAAGACTGCAGTGAGGAGCCAGGGAGATGGCTCCGTCAGCGAAGTCCTTGCTATGCAAGCATGAGGACCAGAGTTTCATCCCCAGAACCCACATAAAGAGTGGGGGTAGTGGCAAGCTTTTGTAATCCCAGAGCTGGTCAGCCAATCTAGCCTGCTTGGAGAGCTCCAGGCCAATGAGAGAGCTTATCTCAAAAAATAAAGTGGTCCACATGCATGTGTATCTTCACACATGTATACACACACACACACACACACACACACACACACAGAGAGAG